GGAAATTCAGCAATATCACTGACCTTGGTTTCAGCCGGACGAATGCCGTTGGCGTCGATGATGTGACCGAGGAAGAGCAATGACGGCTTCCCTAATTCGGTCTTGGCGGCATTGATGGTAACACCGTGCTCTGTTAACCGCTGGAAGATCTGTCGAAGATGAAGCTGATGTTCGTCAACGCTGGGGCTAGCGACAAGAATATCATCGATGTAAGAGTGAACGAAGGGCAGCCCGCGGGTAACACCGTCAATAAACCGCTGGAACGTTTGGGACGGGTTGTGCAAGCCAAATGGCATACGGAGAAACTCAAATAGACCAAACGGAGTGGTAACGGCGGTTTTTGCAACGTCCTCGTCGGCGACCGGAATTTGATGATAGGCCCGGACCAGGTCGATTTTGCTGAAGATGGTGGATCCAGCCAGAGCAGACGTGATATCATGAATGTGAGGCACAGGATATCGATCTGGCGTTGTGACCTGATTGAGGCGACGATAGTCACCACACGGACGCCAGTCGCCCGAAGTTCTCTTCGGCACCATGTGCAATGGAGAGGCCCACGGGCTGTTCGAAGGACGGATGATGCCTAGGTCCAGCATTTTCTGGAATTCAAGACGAGCGACGGCCAGTTTGTCTGGGGCTAGGTGACGCGGACGGGCAAAAACAGGAGGTCCCGCTGTACTGATGTGATGTACAACAGCCGAGCGCACCACGGGTAAGTGGTTTACCGGTCAGGTTAGAGACGGAAACTCAGCTAAAATTTTGGCGAAGGTATCGTTGGCGATAGGAACTACGGACGGTCGAACAACGTTGACCAAGCAGACAGATCCAACAACAGCACGATGAGTCACAGGGTCGGTTAACTTACGAGAAGCGGGATGTAACGAAAGGTTGAAATGATGCAGAAAATCAACTCCTAAAATGGGCTGGGAAACGTCAGCAATGACAAAAGTCCACTGAAAAAAACGACGCAACCCCAGATCTAACTTGAGACGCCTAGTACCAAAAGTGGATATACGAGACCCATTGGCGGCCTAAAGCTCTAAAGTGTGCCGGTGCTGACGATCAGAAGGGTTAGGGGGAACGACACTGATCTGTGCGCCAGTGTCAATCAAAAACTGACGGTGGGAGATGAGGTCCTTGATAAATAGAAGACGGCAGGGTGTAGGGAGGCCAACGAGCGCTGCCGTACCTACACGTTGGCCGACGAGTTTCCCTGGTTGTCGTGGAACGTGCACGGGGGTGTACACTTCCTGGCGCTGGCACGATACTGGCGGTGATACCAACACCATGTCTAAGTGTGTGCATCGGGAGAGGCTGGCCTAGGAGGACTGCGTGCGGCAATAGGCCGACGGGTGCGAGTTGGGGAGCGGCTACGACGTGCCGAACGTGAAGACTGAATAGCGGTCACGTCCGCCCGAAGGGCACTGAGTTGTGCAGCTAAATTTGTGAGAGCCGCCTCCGTAGTGGTTGTGGACGAACGAACACACTGGCTAATTTGGGCGGAGGCGGTTTCCATAAAGCGGTCCACCGCCAAAGCCAGTCTGTCTAGTGAGACTTCATCTACGAGAAGGGCCAGAGTGCACTGCGCTTGTTGGGGTAGCTGCTGCATCCACAATTCTCGCAACATCATGTCACCAACTTGGATGCCCTTGGCCAGCTGTCGCATACGACGCAGAAGCTGTGAAGGCTTCTGGTCACCGAGGGAAATGCCACTATGCAGCTGACGAAGACGGTTTGAGTCGGAGACCCCGGTGCGTTCTAAGATAGCCTGGCGAAGCATATCATAAGGCTTGTCCGTGGGTGGGTTGGAGATGATATCCTCGACAGCTTCAAGAATATTTAAAGGAAGTTCGGCAGTGAGATGCACATACTTCTGTTGCTGGGAGGTGATTCTGGAAGCAGCAAACTGTGCTTCCAGTTGAGTCAGCCAAAGAGAGGGATTACCCGGAATGAAAGGTAACGCTTTCACTGGGCGCGCAATAGAGAGCGTTTCAGGCACCGCAGGGTCAGACATAGTTAACTTAGCGTCATCCATATCAAATAGACAGCAAAATAAATATACGATGGCTGATCGAAATCAACACCAAAAAGGGCTCAATACGTATGTGCACAACGAAAACAAAAGGAACGCTGAAGGGCACGGACGATATAATAAATAAATAAAAATTATTAATAACTTGGAACGGGCTCATCAATTTAGTCGAACGCACGACTTGTGGACTCAATTCCCTTCCAGCGAATAAAGACGCAGAACGACAGCGATTGATGGTTTTTTTACTTTTATTGATTGCCCTGTATGAAGTACAGGAGAAGGGAGGCTGATCGAGCTAATCACCAGAGCTGATGAGCTGGAGCGCGCCTTGCCGTTTTGACGTAGTGTGACGAAGGTTGTTCCCTTTTTTAACGTGTTCTTATTTTCACACCGGTGGACTTAAACAAGGCGCGCCTAAGCTCTAAGCTCGCGATTGTGTTTTATTGAATTTGGTGTCTGCGAAGCCGCTACACTAGTCCTACTGGAATTTCTCTTGTGCCAATGTGTTTCTCAGGCCGTGACTATCCTCTGGACAAAGAATCAGCGTGCCCGTAGGACGCCGTTTAAGCCCAGTTTCGATCAATTCACCTATTTGCGCTAGTCCTACTGGAATTTCTCTTGTGCCAATGTGTTTCTCAGGCCGTGACTATCCTCTGGACAAAGAATCAGCGTGCCCGTAGGACGCCGTTTAAGCCCAGTTTCGATCAATTCACCTATTTGCGCTAGTCCTACTGGAATTTCTCTTGTGCCAATGTGTTTCTCAGGCCGTGACTATCCTCTGGACTAAGAAGCGGTGTTGGTCTCGTGTGATTTATTGAAATACTGCGCGACCGTCCGGATCATACTGCATGAGTCATTGTCTTCGAGCACTCTGATGCAACTCCCGCCATTCATTCACTCCGTTGTGTCTCTGACATGTAATTCACGGGGATAGAGAATGTAAAACCGAACGATCCAGCACTTATGTGATTGAAAATTCTGAATTTTACAGGTAAGTTTTTGTCCAATTAGGCTCGATTGGGAAAATCGCACGATTCCTGCTCCCGTGCTCACCTGATGTCGGTTCCGATCAGTGAGCATCAATATTTCACTGATTTTATGGTAATCTAGTCATAAAAGGGAGTCAGTCAAACTTCGGTCTCACATGTTAGGACAAACTGGACTTTTATCTGTTTTCGAAATCACGTAGTCGAAACAAACACCTACAACTTACGCTGATGTTACAACACCGATTACTCTTAGTAAAAAACTTTCAACTTGTGATCCAATATACTGACACAATCTTCCGAGGTTCAAATATTTGCCCTATCAATGTTAGAGAGAGTGTGAAAACTATGGACCTGCAAGCAATAGGGTAGTTACATTTTTTCTATTATCATTCTTCTACAGTAATAACAATCTTCAGTTCACTGTATCATCTAGAAACTCAGTTATCGGGTACAGTAATATGTAAAGAGGCGAGCTTCCACTCGCCGCATTGACGAATGTTTTATGCTTGCGTGTTAAGTTCATGAACTACCTTGGAAGAAACCGCCAAGAACACACATCAGATCGGTAATTACTCATGGGAAATTGGAAGTTTATGACTAGTACTATATTTTTCGTTAGTATAGTTGATACACGGGGCGAAATACTCCATGCATCGTGCTCAAACTGGTCAATCAAAATTGGACTCGTATAATATAATGATTGCCTGATAATTAGTTGACCAAGGCATCTAACTGATACAACCGATTACATCCTTTCATCCAGGTAGTTAATGCTGAGGCGGTTTTACTCGATTAGAATAAACTCAGTACCACAGCCGGAATAACTTGCAGTGTTTGTATAGCAGGTGAATAAAGGAAAAAAACCTCAGAGAATAAATCACTGAACTGAATTGCGAGTCGAAACTCAAAGTACCTTCCCACAATGCAAATTACCGCAATACACTGGACACCGATAATATTCAGTTTCTTTGGGTTTCAAAATACACTTGCAATTTTCGCATCCGAAAGATCAATTATAAGAGTCGAATATTGCAAACATTATGAAACACGGCAATTCAAGTTGTTTTCTACGCGTCAGACTTGGTCCCAAGAGCCCACTGAATTGGATACTGTTTCCGTAACGTATTAGGAATAAAACCAATTGAATTAAGTCTTGTTAGTCAACTCCAAGTCGTTTCAAATGGGTAACGATCACATCAAGGTCATATGACAGTGATCCGGATAAGTTCATTTGGTTTTACAAATATAAATATAGGCGGTTTCAAAATCAGCAAATTCAGACACCTTGGCGAATCGGAAGATGATTGCATTTTAAAAGCGTATGGGATGGATATTTCTGTCACAGAGATTGCTCTGAGTCCTGTTGGAAACAGATGCACAATTTGCTGCATTAATCCCAAACAGCATATTGGTACAAAAAGGTGTAGTGGACAAAAAATTTGGTACATCCTAACCGGGTGATGATTTGTTCGTCACCAGGACAAAAACTGATACCGGAAAATCCCCATTCCTAATCAACGAAAATTTTTTGTCTTTACTATTCACTCGGACCCTAACTTTAGGTTCGTTTTGTTCGCTAAACGTGGTTCACGTAAAATGTGATGTAATGATATGACTATGAATCACTGAAAACGGCATGTTCGCCACCTGGTGTTCGTCACAGTGGGCACTGTATTTATCACAAAACAAACAGCTGTGCAACGAACTTCTCTTAAAATGCAGTATACTGACTACCAGATTGCAACATTTATCAGGCTCGATGTTATGGGTGCAATACAACAGAATTAACTTCGTCGGGAGAGTTATCAGTTATACCATAGGTCATGCAAAATGAATCGTAGTCGTGCTAGATATTTATTGAGTGTTGACAAATAGAGTACAAAAAAATCGAACATCTCGAACTCTTCGATGCAGCCTATCGGGAATTTTCCAACACGCACCTCGAATCTAATAATGCGTTTTTGAAGCAATAAAAAAGACTATTTAACTTTTGTCGCGGACAACTGAGTGATCATCACATTGACCAAGTCAAGTGCTTGTTCATGATATAAAGAAATTGCTGAACCTCGGTCTGTTGGCACATTTGGATCGGGGTCAAGTAGCCGCAACAAGTCCGTTGGGGTAAGCGCCGGGGGTTTTGTAGACTCTGTAGCCGCGATTTTGGATGGCGACATCAACTGACCAGTATACACAGCAAAGACGTTGTCGACATCAACGTGCTTTGGGGGTTGATCTAACCGACGCAGAAAGATATGGCTAACGTCGATCGCCAAGGCCATTGCTGCGTTGGGTTAAATAAAGAATTTATGAGTGACTGTTATAGATGAGCATAGGAAATATGAAACACGCAAACATGTACAAAGATGGAAAACATCTGAAACAAACGCGTTCGGTGTGAAATTGTTTACACCAACTAAACTGGAGCCTAAACTGGGCCCAATAAACAAAATAGCTTGCATGGAACGCTCAAGTTTCCGGAAATTATCCAAGATCTCAAAGTGAATAGCAATTTGATTTTTTGGCATTCTGCGGAAAAAAGGAAGATCGGCACGACACCGGGGACGGAAACTTGGTAAGGATGATTGGCCGCCTGTGTATGAGAATGCCGGCGAGAGGTTAAAGGAAAAGGAATTGGAAATTGAAGCTCTAAAAAGCAGAAGCTAAAATAGTAACGCCAAAAAAGATAATGAAGCAATCGCCTGACGTTGGGTCAGAAAATGTAGACTGGAGATTAGAGAACGATCGTTGACCAGCAGGATGGCCTCACGCTGAACTAGACCAAGAAGAGAAACGGCAGAACACGAAACCCCATCTCACACGTCACTGCAATATTCGGGGTTTGGGAAGCATTTCAGGTTTGTACAATAGCAAGTGATCTGGAGAAAAAAACATACACTGCGGAATAGAAAACAAACTTTGCGCGTAACTCGAGAAGCAAAATGAAAATATGAAAGGAGACCAACACTGAAGAAGTTATGGATAAATCAAGAACAAACAAAGAGTCTGAAGAACGCAATCGTATTGAATCGAGATAAATGCCGCTGGAACGAACCTTCAAGGGAAACTGAAAGAAAGGTAGTTATGGAAGCACTGAAGTCAACGTGATCGTGGGAATCCCATGAGATTTTTCGAGGTTAGCATCAATAGACATTGATAACACTACTGTCACAACCGATATTGGTGATGCCGTGGCGGGAGGTGGAGCAGAAAACCGAACAATACAGAGTGGAACCATAGGCAAAAGAGAGGATTACTTTGGAGGTCTTGGACAGATCATACATGAACAGAAGACGGTGGGAGCGCTAGCATTCACGGGGAACAGTTGACGTTGAACCCCGTCGACCCGGAAGGAAATGGTCAGCTTGCTGAGAAAACTCGATATCTACGGTACGGGAGCCGGAGGGAACGTTAACGTGGGCAATTTTGCCAGCAGACTCGGTCGAAGGCATTTGAGATGTCCAGCGAGACTAAGCGCGATTTGCCGTGGTCAATGAGTGCAGCCGACCAGGAGTATAAGACGAAAGCTAGCAGAACACCCGCGGAACGACAGGACCGGAAGCCGTATTAGTGATCGTTTAATAGTGTTTTGAACTGTCCCAATAAATCTAGTGAGAAGACCCTTCTGACCTTGAATCAGTTTGATTTATTGACACAAAATGTATCGTTTACATAGGATACGTGGTGACCATAACCAAAACCATGCATAATAGCCTATTGGTCTACTGATGGACCTAAACGACCCGTCTGGTTCCGCCGGGATTGGACGATTCGGCTCTGGTCGGTTCTAACCAACGTTAACCGCTGATTGGTCCAACGACTGCTCGACTAGCTCCACTCTTCTCGGCGACTCTGGTCAGCCGATCGCTTGCTGTCTGCTTCACTGAACCAGGCCGTCTATTGTAAATGTGCTGGGCCCATTCCCTCAAAATTGTCCTTCTCTTCTGAGGATAATGGCGGGGATCAGTGTAACTGAAGTCGCTTCTCAGTTCGACAGACTCCCGCACCCGACCAAACCAGGATTGTTTCCACCGTGGCAGAGGCTGTGTGGATCAAATCTTCATAATGCGTCAAGTAGTGGAACACCACTACAGGTTCCAATAGCTACACCGATTTCCGGACTGCTTTTGACTTCGTTAATCGTGAATCCCTATGAGGCACACTAGAATCCCACGGGGTTCGTGTCAAACTCAGGGATACTGAGGACTTGCTACGCTTCCACTAGAACAGGTGTCCGAATGTATGGCGAAGAATCTTCGACGTTCGCAGTCAAATCCGGAGTTAGATAGGACTACCCTTTCCCATCGGTGTTCGACTGTACAATGAACAAAGCCTTAGCTGATTACCCTGGTGTCCATTTGAGCCCAATGGTGCACATCTCGGACCTGGAGTTTTCCGATGATGTTATCGTGCTAAGAGATTCTCCCGCCACATTTCAGCCAGTCCAGGACTGACTCGATTGCTTTTAGAAGACTACTGGTCTAGGAGTCAATTCTGCAAAAACAAGGGCTTTTTCGACTTGCCCGTCAGCTCAGCAGTTGCCGACCAATGGTCAGACAACCGAGTGTGTACCATCTTTCACATATCTGAGATCAACTCTGCTTCCGAATGACCGGGCGAACGACGAAGCACTCAAAAATTGACAATGCACGGAGAGCGTTTCTTTAGCTGCGAATTGCGCTGGGGTTACGTAGCGGAATTAGCTTCCGAACGAAGATTCACGACTTCTGTACTGCTATCGGACCCGTGCTCACATGCGGGCGGGAAACCTGTCCACTACGAGCTGAAGATACTAGGAAGCTGTAGGTTTTCGACTGCTAGTGTCTGTGCCGAATTCGTTGTACAAACTGGCAGAAAATGCTATCAAACGACGAAAAAAGGAGGCGGTGCTGCCTAACTGACCAACATTCTGTCATTCTTCAACGACATTGCCAGCAGTGGTTCGGCCACATACTCCGGCGACCTGACACAGAACTGTTCATATAAACACTCCACCCTGTGCTATGTAGGGGAGGGCACTGTCAGCTTTGAAGTCAACTGAAAATGTAATTGAGCAATATCGAGAAAGACATGGAGTACCTCGGACAACATACGATCCAGGGTCTGTGATACTGGAACGAAAACCGGGTCACGGGTTGTGCTGAGGTCGCATCCAACCGTCATGCATGGTCGACGATGACCCACGATATCCATGAGGCCGACATATCCTCAGCAAGAGATAGTTGTGCGAAAGTAAAGAAAATAAGTGGGTACCCTCAAAAACGCTAAATATTGGTTGTTTTACTAAGCGCACTAACCGACTGCAGATCAGAGGCAGTCAAAATCAATTTATAACAAAGTGGGCCACGCCAACTAAGTGGTTATGGCAGGGGATATTATTGCTAGTGATTTGACTGTCATCAAATGAAATTGGTATAGCCAATCTATTGGAGCTGGATTCCTGTCGTTTAAACGTTGGAAGTAGGAACCTACGTGATTTGTGGTCATCTTGTGTTGTTTGCCAGTACGAATATTAGACGCTCTATTCGCTAGTTAGTCACTTGATATATTTTCTATTTCACTCAGTCATGGATTCAGATTGCCAATATTTTAATAGGCTACATACATCGGGGTTATATTTAAGACTGCTGACTGAAACCATTCGCTTGTGATGATTCCGATCAAGTTTTGAAGTGCGCTAAGGTGTGCATGTGCTTTGGTCGTCCTATAAAAAGCACTCTGTTTCTACAGTTCGACTAGGAGACGATATCACAACCAGTTTGTATGAACACGCTCTGGACAAATAGCCGAAACTGGTTCAACCGAATATCGTCAATAAGCACCGTTTGCCAATCAAGGGTGATATGAATTTATCTTCGGTTGCAAATTGTGGTTCGACACTTTGCGCCGTGAAATCCTACAATTCCACTGAGTCTCTCGGCCTTTTAGGCACGTTACGGTCAATTCCAGCCAGCAGAACACGATGGCACACGTCTCTTCATGGGACGTGATCGCGTTAAAAGTCTATGTAGCGATGCAGAAGTCTGGTGATCCGAATACAGCGATTAAGATTTCAAAGTGTGATGTGCAATTCGCCCCACCCAAGTGCAAAAGCCTCTTTCAAAACTAACAAGAACACATTGGTCGGTGATCATTTGATCAACCCTATCTGTCTCTTTAAACATATATTTCGAGCAGGTCGTCACCGCAAGTACTATTTTCGACGCGCTCCATCGACGCAAGCCAGCGTTCGGTGGCTGTACATTGGCTCTGTCATGTGCGGTTGGCACTCACGATGAACGTTGACTGTGTTTACTGAAAAGTGTATCCCTCCTGAACTGTGATATAAGAGAGAACCAAGTAAATAAACCTGAAACTTGAAGTACTGAACCGTGCAGTTCCCCAAAGAAACAACCTTAGTAAGCAACCGAGACAGTGAAGCGTTGTCACCAAAGTTGAACGGTGTTGGAGGAGTTCCGAACCTCATTTCAGTTTCAGTTTATTCAATCATTAACCTCGCACTTCTGTGCTCTGGTTTCCATCGCTGCCTTCCAGCATCGTCCATTAAAAGACGAAAAGAATAGAAGCGTAGTGATAAAGACCCGAAAAAGTCAAAGTATCAAGCGCAAATCAAAGCGATGAAGAAAGAGTCCGAGTACAACTACGCCACTGACCGCGACATTTAGCCATATCACAATGTTTCCAACCATTAGGCAGGCGGATCGCGTAGAACCCAACTCGGAGGTCTAACACGTCCTACTTGGTTAAGTCCATTGGTCAAGGTTTTCATACCTTTTTGCCATGTCGTGGACTGACCACCTCGACTTACCTTCCAAACATTACCTGCTTAGGAGAATAACGTACGCTGAGGAAGCCTATCCGTGGGTATGTGTAACACATGTCCAACAGCCCTAATCTGTTTAGATTCAGTACTTGATCCACAGACCTAACCTAACCTCAGCATTGCTGATACGGTGTTCCCACCATATTCGGGCAATGCAACGGAGACATCGGTACCCGAACACCAACAGCGTTCGCCTATCTTCTACCCTCAATAGTCATATTTCTGAACCGTATATAAGAACGGACCTAACCGCCGCACTGGAGGTTGGCAAAAGCCAAACGCACCTCCTATATACGTGACGACACTTCATCCGTTATCTGTCCACCCGGCGAGCTGTAACTTCTCAGGTAACAAAATTTATCCACTTCAGCTTGGGTTCTCCTACCAAGAAGAGGTTTGGTGTTGAGCCAACCCAGTCCTGCAGCAGTATTTTACACTTTGAAGGTACAAAACATATCCCAAACATTCCTACACTTCCGTTGAGGCTATCTAAGAGAGTTTGCAACTCACCTGGATATCCACTCAGAAGAACAATATCGTCCACATATTCCAAATCAGACAGTTTATTGCCTGAGCGGAGATCGACGCCACTATTCTCACACGAGAATAGGGCTATCTCAAGAATCAAGTCAATCGCAAAATTGAAGAGGAAGGGTGAAAGGGGGTGACCCTGACGAACACCACTCTCGGTGGTGAACTCGGGTGAAAGATCACCGTAAGCACGAACTCGGCTTCGGCTGTTCGCATACAAGCATTGGCACACTCCTCAATGAGAGGCAGTGCCAGAGAACTGTGCGGCAGACTGAATCGAACGCCGCTTCCAGATCAAGAAGGACACAAATTGTGGGCCTACGGAAGATGTGTCTATGCTCTAAGGTTTGCCGAAGAGTAAAGATGTGGTCCATACAACCACGACCGAGTCTGAAACCGGCTTGATTCTCACGCGTACACATTTCTCAGGCGCTGGATAATCGGTGGAGAATAAGACCGGTGTGCAGTTAAGAAGCGATACTTACCAAGCTACTTTCTCAGTCGTTTTCACAAGAGGATCTGTCACCTTTCTTGTAAATCGGCACAGCCACCGATTCACATCATTCCCTGGGAATCCGCTCACTATCCCAGATTACCCGGAGGAGTTTCGTTAACTTTGAAACCAAAGCTTCATCTTCATCCTTGAAAAAATATGGGGACAACCCATCCGGTCCAGCGGATTTACACCTTTTCAAATAATCTATATCCCGCATAAGCTCCCTCTCTGATGGAGGAGTGATATCCACCTGCATCGTCTCACCGGCAGGTATATCTGGAAGGTCTACCGTTTAAGTGAGCCAACTGAACTGTTCCTTAACGAGCTCCGCCCAACGATCCAGACGACATCCCTGAGGATGAATAAGTGAGTCGTCGGATTCCTTAATTCACTCATTTAAATCGGAATTCCGTGAACCGTTGCCTCTGGTCAGACGGAAAAGGTTTCGAGCATTGCCAATGGACGTGGTCTTTACCTTTTCCCTACATTTCACAATCCACCACTGTTCACCGTCATTTCTCAGACACCTAGTCAGTTGACGTCTCGGGGATTTACGCACTTCATTGAATGTGGCATCTGGAGAGACGGATCTGCGAGCAACCAACAAAGCAACTGATGTCGAAGATATTCATTGTTTGTGAAATCAACTTGAACCAGATTCCTGGGTGGCGTTCGAAGCGACATACAAGGTTTCCTTGATCTGTTGCCAGAATTCATTTGGGTCTTGAATATCTGGCTGCTTCGATAACTGCGTAGAAAGCTCCGTCTGGAAACTGTATCGCTGGTTATCTTCTAAAAGTAACTGCGCGGGATGCGTGGCATTTAGGTTCGTGCGACCACGGACGAGACGTAAACGGAAGCGAGCACGTACCAAGGCGTGATCTGAGTCCATGGGCGTAGACCAAAATGAACGACAATGTTCAATTGATCCACGCCAGCTGTGACCAATCACAATATGGTCAAATTGAGTCCAACGTTGTGAAGACGAAGGAGAACGCCATGTCACTTTATGCCGCTTCGCCGGAAACAATCTGCGGTCAGAACACAGTTGAATGAGACGATCGCCGTTGTCGGTATGACCAGCTGAGATAGAAAATGGGCCTCCAATGTGCCTTTCGGAATGTCCCAAACCGCAAACTTGGGTGTTCAAATCCCCAGTAATTGCAACCACCACGTTTGATAAACATGCACTTCGAAGAAGCTGAGACAATTCTTGGTAGAATTCATCCTCTCTGATGGAGGAGTGATATCCACCTGCATCGTCTCACCGGCAGGTATATCTGGAAGGTTCACCATTTAAGTGGGCCAACTGAACTGTTCCTTAAAGAGCTCCGCCCAACGATCCAGACGACATCCCTGAGGATGAATCAGTGAGTCGTCGGATTCCTTAATTAACTCATTTAAATCGGAATTCCGTGAACCGTTGCCTCTGGAGAAGGAGAATTCATCCTTGGACTCAGATGACCCGCAGTCAGTAGGCCCGTACACAGACACGAAGAACAAACATCGGAGCTTCAGTTTGTTCTTGTTGACACGAACACAACCGTCCAACTGAACTGCACACAAACGACTGCTGACTGGAATCCAGTCTAGCAGTGCACGCTCAGCTGTCATGCTCAAAGCAATCCTAACTCCAACCAGATCACGATCTCTAGACACTGAATCACCCGATACGCGAAGAGTGGAGCCAGAGACAGAGGTTGCATCTCGGAAGCGGAAAGTTATCACAGAAGTGGGGTTTTGTATGTGTGTTTCGGAAAGACAACACACGTCTATGTTAAAGGTGTCAAGAGATTTAGCGAGGGTAGCCTGTTGCCCAATCTGATAGTGTGCGGACGTTAATAACAGTCAGGTGAAGTGAACACTTAAGCTTAGGAAGTGCATTCAATTTATACTCGAATCCTAAATTACTGCTTTCATAAGAGCCACAATTACAAGTGGCGTTTTGCATCGATTTTAACTTAGAAGAAGGAGAAACTGACAAAGCCCCTTACAGGAAAGATACTGGAGGTTTCCGGGCGGATCACACTCCGCGGTTGCTCACGTCGCAGAAGGAGTTTTTCTTTGGGAACACTAACCGGAGCCTTTGACTCAAAAGTCTGACCCACAAGGCTGTGGGGTGTTAACCCAGCACGGGAACGTGACCGAGGCATCCGTGAAGGAATATCTTCTGGTCTGTCACCTGAGACTTGATTACTGCATGCGTTTTGTCCTGTCTTAGCTGGTGCTTTGTTATCGATCCACTTTTCGGATTCAGTCCTTAGCCTCATGCACCCAATGGAGCAAGCGAAACATGAACGGGGCAGCATTCTAGGAAATAGTGAAAAGCTATGTGACCTAGATTACGCATACGACGTTGTCTGCTTGTTCGAATGCACGCAACATGCTCAGCGTGCACTAGATAATCTCGCAAGAGCTGTAGCTCCGTTCGGCATGCACTTTGCACCTCCAAAGTGTAAAATGATGTTACAAGACTGGACGTCAACAATTCCGAGCTTGATGCCCGATGGGGAGGTGCTGGCAATTGTCGACCACGCAAGCCATCACACCACACCGAGGTGCAGTCTCGTCATGATGGCTCGTACGTCAGTTGGTAGTCTACGCCTTATATGAACGACCAAATAATATGTCACTAGCAGAAAAGTGGGAACTAACTGAAACAGTTATTAACTGAAATACAAGCTGGCGGAAACTCACCACCTGAGCCAACTGGTACGCATACGGTCGCTATCGTGGCCCGTAAAGGCAATCCAGATTGCAACAAAGCCAACGATATGGCGTTTAATGCAGCGGCAACTGTATGTGGATTAGATGCGTCACCGGAAACGATACACAAACGTCCAGAGAGCTGAAAGAGAAACGGACATAAACCAGAACAATCTAAAGTAACGGTGAAATTCGACCCACCAATAAACTTGAGTAACCGATTCAGTACCTAGGTGAATGGTGTAGGTAAAATACCTTGTTCACTGCGCGAACCAACTGGAATTCAGACATCGAATTTGACTGTGAAACATTCAGGTGGAATTCCATCACCCATGATGAAGTGAGACAGTGAACCAAACCACAATGAACATCACTTTCCAGTTTCTATCCTACTCGATTTCGACGTGCTATCTCAGTCGTTTCTAGTCTCTTGAGCGAGATATCAGAATCCCCTCCTGTCTTGATCAAAAAGTGGCAGATTAAAATACATTTATTTGATCATGAGAAGACTAGAATAAACAAATGATGGTCAAAAACGATCGAGCTCATCCTTGTATATATATTGATGATAGGGAAACAGATCGTTTATCTTCGTTTCAATGTCGAGCTGCACTATCGCCTTAATTCCATAAACCTAATTCTTCTCTTACTCCTTTTCCTACGCATTTCTCCCTCATAATTTCATTTTGAGATGTTGGGTGATGTTGACGGCTAGCCATGACGACGAGATCGCACCTCGGTGTGGTGTGGTGGCTTGTGTGCCTCCTGGACCCAAAGAGCTATGCAGGATGGCTCATCTATCCGGGAGACGCAGTCGTGCATGACAGTCCGATGGGTAGAGACCAAACGAAGTCCAGTCTCCGAACCAGTTGATCAGTAACATCTGCCACTAACCACTGTGCCCCTGGACAGGACAATCCAGCAAATAAGCACGGAGAAACAGTATACCGATCAAAAAACTCCACTAGATGGACGTAACAGTGGAGTACCTGGGGTTTCTCTCGACGGTAAGATAAATCATCGCACTTCATTGGGTGGCTATCGCTCGCCTGAGCTTGGCAGCCCTCGGCCAAAAGAATGCTGCCCCGTTCATGTTTCGCTTGCTCCACTGGGTGCATGAGGCTAAGGACTGAATCCGAAAAGTGGATCGATAATAAAGCACAAGCGAAGACAGGACAAAACGCATGCAGTAATCAAGTCTCAGGTGACAGACCAGAAGATATTCCTTCACGGATGCCTCGGTCACGTTCCCGTGATGGGTTAACACCATGAGCATGTTGCGTGCATTCGAACAAGCAGACAACGTCGTATGCGTAATCTAGGTCACATAGCTTTTCACTGTTTCCTTGTTCGACGCCTACATCCTGAAGATTTTGCTGCGCTCTCTCCATTATTTTGTCCATGAAGAAGTTAAACAAGAATGGAGACAAAGGACATCCCTGTCGAACACCACTGGTCGTTTCGAACCGACCGGATAGTTCGCCGTAAACTCTAACGCGGCCAGAAGTAAGAATACAATGATCTCAGTAGGTTCACGAACTTCCGGGGCATACCTTTTCGATGTAGAGTACCGAAAAGCGCTGCTCGATCAACTGAATCGAAAGCGCCTTTCAAGCCTAAGAAAACCATTATTGTCGGTCGGCGGTGCGTGTGACACGTTTCAAGTAGTTGGCGAAGAGTAAAAAACCGGTCCATGCAGCCTCGACCTATGCGTTGTCCGGCATGCTTTTCGCGAACGCTCCTCTCGCGAGCCGGTGTGAGATCATGCAGCAAAATTGAAGCTAATACCTTAGTGACTATCGGAATTAATCTGATAACACGACGATTATCACAGTAATTGCGTATTTCTTTTTTGGAGATGGGTATAATCAATGACTCACTCCATAATAGTGGGATATGTTCCTCCTTCCAAACGTCACGGAGCGAGGGGGCGATTTTATCAACACACCACCACCCATTTTGATAAAATCACTTACCACCCTGCTCCGTGACGTTTGGAAGGAGGGATGTATCCCACTATTATGGGGTGAATCACTGATTACACCGATCTTCAAGGAGGGCGAGTAACGGTTGGAAGATGAGTGAGGATGGTCAGTCCATGACATGGAAGAAACATGGGCTTGGCCATGTAGGGCGAATTAGACTTCTTGGGCGGGGTCCAAGAGGCCTTCCCAGTCTATGGTTAGGTAAATTGGAGGATATGACTAGCTGTCGCGATAAGAGGCACTCTTGCATTCACAGACTTTCGAATATGTACTAATATTTGTAGTTCTACCACTTCTTTGGTACTCCTGTTCTTCACTAACTTCTAACGCGGCTGCGATTAGGAGATAGCAACCAAAGTCACCATACCCAGTGCACGGTTAATGGGTACCATCATTAAAGCCTCAAGAATCATTACATTCCGTTTACAAAAACACGTTTGCAAAACAGCGCTCACCTTGGTTCGCGGAAATTCTTTCACATCAATCACTCGCTCGAGTACATTTATTAGGAATGACTCAAGTTCTGTCTCGTATAACGTGTGCTGTCCAGATGGTGGAGTGACAGTCATGTTGATGCAAGCACGATGTGTTAGCTCTTCTGTGGCTTTAGCCTCATCAGGACCGTAGATGGAGAATACAACATGATGACCAAGACATTCCCATGTTGCCGAACCAACGGCATTGCAATCCGTTCCCAGTTCCACACACAAATTAAATCGTTCCATCAAAAATGGTGAGTCAAGTTTCGTCTGAAATAAAAGAAAATAGAAGCTCACTAATAAAAAGCAAAATAAATTTAATTTGGTTTACGATTCAGAAGACTGCAAACTGGGCTCTAGATGCGGCAGTCTACGTTTCTATCTTTATCCATGTACGTTTATTTACGAATAAAATATAAGTAGCTGCATGTTTCGGAGTGATCCAAGTTTAAAGATGTATCAACCCTAATGTAGTTCATACCTAGCACCGATCGAGAACCTCACCTTATTCGTAACTCTATGAGAAAATAAGCAAAATACTAATACAGAGCATAGTAATACACAAATAGGTCATTTTATTATCCAGTATAGCATCGTGGTCCATAAACCCTACATCAACCCTTATCAGCAAATATCAACCCAACAACATTTACCTCTGTAGGTAATTGGACAATTACCCATATGCTTCGTCTATGACTCCCAGCCCGGAGCTGAGGGATCGATTGGGGATAGCATATCTGATTGTTATCCGGCGCGCCTTCAGTCGTTGATAGGACGGCCATTCCAGTGGCTGGATTCATCAAATAAGCGGACGCAAAAGATCAGTGGCAGTGCCTGAGGATGTGATGGGATTTTCGCCAAGCAATCGTTCTTCACTCATAAACTCTCTACTGTTGAATAACATTTTTCGTGATGAACGAACTTCAGTCGCATCACTTTTCACCCATGACGAGCATTTCTATACATTCACATTCTCTATTTCAGCGTACATGCTCAGTCTGTTAAACGAATAAAGCTTATATTCTGGGCTTTTGATCTTCTCATTCTGAGGTGATGATTTGTTATTGAAAACAAAATATACAATACCCAATGACAAAACACAATAATGTATTCGTTTGCCAATGGACAAAATTATACGACCCAGACGCTTCGGTGCTGACCCTTCGTCACAAACGTCATCAACGGTCTGAAAACATTGGTTCCGCATATTCAAAACTTTTATCGTCAAATCTTCAACGATTAATTCAAACAAACTCGGCGCTCGAATTAACTACGTTACGTCATCGGTATACAAGTACGTTGATGAGTGCAAAACGTGCGAAGCTGCATTCCATACTCTTGAAAAAATTTACATAAAACAGGAAATGAGGTTTTTTCCCGACACATGTTTTCTTCTGACAAACAGGAAGAAGGTCAAACTCTAGACCGGTTCCTCCAAGACACCAGACTGCAAGCAAGATTGCTTTTTCAAATCTGTCACAATCGAGCAAAATCAAAGTGATGCTACTTGCCATTCATTTATCACTGGAATGCAGTCTAACACTACTCGACGGCGCCTTCTGGAAAACAGGTTGCTGGATCTCGATATTGACTACGAACAGGTTTACTCTTTGGAAATGGCTGGTTATAGATCTCATTCATTTTACCCGTCTGATCCTTGACACTCAGCGCCAACAACTAATCCAGATTTACTCAAGGAATCACGTTCTCACCCGTTTGATTTGAGTGTTACAGCAGCAGCTGGTCGATCTTAATTTTGAGTATGTCGGACACACCCGTTCCGAGTATCACGCTAGAAACGCTGCGTGCAAACTGCGTAATGAGAAAGGGTGTTACCAAAAGACGTGTTGGTCAGCCCCACACACTAAAATGCCGTCGTTACTGGCTCTTTGTTATCTTCCATGATATCGGCTTCCGCTTCTCAATGCCTTCCCACTCCAGCAATACAGGTTTTTGTCAACGGATCAGTTGCTTTCATGTACGACATAAATCACCGGGGGGAAATAACGAATGGCACATTGAACTATCGTGTTACCATTTCGACGTGGTTAACCGTCGCGGCGAGAACAATAAAACAGCTGCAGGATTTACACGATTCTCTATGTCTTCACTGAATAGCCCGATTGACACATTTTATACGATCCGCGAATCTCCCGTTCTCAGTTGAGGATGTAAAGAAAACGATGTCCAGTTGTCTCGTCTGCACCGAGTTGAAATCAAGATTTTTAAAAATATCTACCGAAACAAGGATCAAAGTGACATTTCCTTCCGAATATTTAAATGTCGATTTCAAAGGCCCACTGCCTTTGGCTACTCGTAATGGGTACCTACTAACAATAATTGACGAGTATTCCAGATTTTCATTCGCCTTTCCCTGCCGGGGCATGATGCCAACTGTTCTCTATGCTTGGCATACCTTCGCACACGATTTTCGTCCAGTAGTAGTGCCTCGCAGATGAACGAACCCCAAAGTCCCAAGGCAGAGAACACAGGTTCGCTCTACTGCGTGTACTATAGGACGTATTATCAAACAATAACAATGACACCTCAAATTGTAGACAAACCGACCACAGAGTCAAAACAGTCAACAAAGGCTACGAAAGGCGCAGACAACAATGGACAGGAAACGTTCGAGACGGCAACGCAGAAGCGAATCAAGCAATTTACAAAGGAGATTCTTATTTATGGGAGGGGCATTGTAACTAATCAACGGTCAGAACAGAAATAATCACCCAAGAGAACACACACGCGTGGTGATCTGCAAACGGAATAGCATAGCTACGAGAAAGTGCATGATCATAGAGGGATGCATAAGTTCAGCCACTTACACGAACGAGGCAGATGAAGAAAGATAATTAGCAGATGGCCATCGACATGCGACCGTGAGACGAAAGTTGCACCGGAAGTCTGTGATCGACTAGAATTGGCGATGGTCTGTACGCAGATGAAGCAGTCGATATGATGGCTAGCATCACGACGAGACTGCGCCTTGACGTGGTGTGATGGCTTGCGCGCCTCTATGACCCAAAAAGCTATACAGGATGGCTTCTTTGAGCCGGAGATGCAATCATACCTGACAGGTCAATGGGCAGAGGTCAGACAAAGTCCAGTCTACTGGTCCTCCAGGTTGGGGGTCGATTTGTGCTGGCAACTCAGTCGGCAAAATCAATGGAAGAATAATTGATCCAAGCAAATGGGCTTCCACTAAGCCATCCCGCTGCCTTGCGAATAGATTCTTGTTAGAACTAAAGGCTTTGGATGAGGACCCTAATCGTTATCCAGCTTTTCGGCTGGACACCCTAGCAGTACCCGTCCAACAAGTCCCATGAAATGCACAACCACAAAGAATTCCATACTCCATCGGTCGTCGCGCAGGACAACCAGGTCCGCGCTGCCCATTGCATCGAGCGGGGTAGGTAGTGATAAGTGGGCTACTGCTCAAGGTTCCCTTTCTTTTATTCAACTTTTGTCTTCTGTCCCTAACCACCCCTCTTTGCCCCATCTATCCACCCATTATGCTCCCACTGATAACATGGTCGATACTCGCAACGATTCACTGCCAAATAGTGTCGGGAATAATCCTCTGTCTGGTAACTCACATTTTCTCAAGCCTCGTCAGCCTCTGAATCTCGGCTCCTTCAACGTGCGTACACTCAAGCAGGTCAGTCAGCAGGCGTGCCTAGCGCTCACAATAGATTCTCTGAAGATTGATGTCTGCTGCTTAAGTGAAACGCATATACAGGATTCGAGCAGCGTAATTCAACTAACTGCTCCTGGTATCTCATCGAGGTATTTTCTGCGCACTTCAGGAGACGAAGTAGCTCGAGCTGTGGGTCAACGTGGTGTAGAAATAGTTTTGACTGACAAGGCTGAGGCTGCCCTTTTAGACTGGATCCCGGTTAACAGTAGTTTATGTGCTGTGAGACTCCAAGGGTCAGCCGGCGTTCGAAAGGATAGTTGTGTTAAACTCAATTTGTTTGTGATCTCGGCGTACGCCCCAACGGACTGCAGCTCAGACTTGCAGAAAGATGAGTTCTATGATGAACTCGCCACCCTCGTTCGCAGTAGTAAAGGTTCTGACATTGTAGTGCTAGTTGGTGATTTCAATGCGCAAGTTGGCTAACTTAGTGTGTCAGAAGCCTGTTTAGGTGGGCGTTGTGCTCTACCCGCTCAGCGTACAGATAACGGGGATAGACTTCTCCATTTTTGTGCAGACAATCGATTGTTCTTGTCTAGCACCAATCTCCGACACAGCTCGCGTCGCACAGCGACTTGGCGCTCTAACTCTACAGGTACTTTGAGTCAAATTGATTATATCGCCATAAGCTACCGGTAGCGCACTTCTGTTCAGAACTATAGATCTTACTGGTCCACGAACGTAGAGTCGGACCATGCATTAGTTTTAATGCGATTATCTCTCCAGCTCCATGGTCATCGTCGCAAACCGCAAACCCGATTAGCCGTGCAACGTTTGTGATCCAGAAGTCCGCACCCGTTACGAGCAGAAGTTAGCACATGAGCTAGGATCTACGACGAACAGTAATGTAGGTGAGCATTGGGCTCATGAAACAGGCGATGCAGTTTGCAGCAGGTTTCGCCTGTGGTCCTAGATCCGTTGTCCATCAAAGACACTGGATCTCGCAAGAGTCGCTGAGTATAATGGAGCAAAAGGGTCAGCTTTCGAACCGTAAGGAGATGAATAAGATGCGGAGAAAGCTGCAAAGACAAGTTACGAAAAGCCTTAAGAATGATCGCGAAAATTGGTGGGTCAAGGTAGCCGAAGAAATGGAAATAGCAGCTGCTTCAGGTAACAGTCAAAGACTGTTCGAACTTATTCGTGACACCGGTGGACGGCGCATTCAGGTCAGTGAAACGATTTGCGATATAACTGGAAAACCCATCCATGGCAAACAGCAAAGGCTTGACCGTTGGGCCGAATACTTCAAGGAACAGTTTAGCTGGCCGCACGCTGGTGTAGTTACTCCCGTGTCAACAACTGCGACTCCTTGGGTGGTATCACTTGAGCCCCCATCGGAAGTAGAAGTGGAGTCATGAATTCGAACACTAAAGCTAGGGAAAGCGGCAGTTCCCGATGAACTTCCCCCAAATCTTTTCAAACTGGGTGAAGGGGCGTTGATAAAATCACCCACCGTCTTGCTCCGTCACGTTTGGAAGGAGGAACATATCCCACTATTATGGAGTGAGTCATTGATTATACCCATCTCCAAAAAAGAAATACGCAATTACTGTGATAATCGTCGTGTTATCAGATTAATTCCGATAGTCACTAAGGTATTAGCTTCAATTTTGCTGCATGATCTCACACCGGCTCGCGAGAGGAGCGTTCGCGAAAAGCATGCCGGACAACGCATAGGTCGAGGCTGCATGGACCGGTTTTTTACTCTTCGCCAACTACTTGAAACGTGTCACACGCACCGCCGACCGACAATAATGATTTTCTTAGACTTGAAAGGCGCTTTCGATTCAGTTGATCGAGCAGCGCTTTTCGGTACTCTACATCGAAAAGGTATGCCCCGGAAGTTCGTGAACCTACTGAGATCATTGTATTCTTACTTCTGGCCGCGTTAGAGTTTACGGCGAACTATCCGGTCGGTTCGAAACGACCAGTGGTGTTCGACAGGGATGTCCTTTGTCTCCATTCTTGTTTAACTTCTTCATGGACAAAATAATGGAGAGAGCGCAGCAAAATCTTCAGGATGTAGGCGTCGAACAAGGAAACAGTGAAAAGCTATGTGACCTAGATTACGCATACGACGTTGTCTGCTTGTTCGAATGCACG